TTAGAGACTAACTGATAATGTAAGTGATATTTGTCTATCTGAACTAACTGAAATATTTCACTAGAACTGAACTAAATTATTTAATATGCGCTATTTCAAAACACTCTGATTAGATTGAATGCATGTTCAATGAAATATGTCAATCATAGTTCGAACGAAAAAATATCACTATTATTAGCATGTCAGTGAAACTTGGTGTCCATAATTCCAAGTCGTTTTGAAAACTTCAGATATTCGAGCTTCCACTATCACCATTTGCACTCTGTTTGAATATGAGTCGGAAACTGAAAGAAAAAAAAAACTCCTATTACTCGAGCCGCTGACTCCGATTAAAGTCAAACAAGTGAATACTTAATGAAATTTGATCGCTCTTTCTCTACCCTACGTGCTACGTTCAATCTGTCCAAATTCCTGAAAAAATCCCAAATGCGATTTTCCTAAACTGCTTCGTCTGAAGAGCTTTCAAGTAGAAGTTCTCCACCGAAATATGATGTGATCGATAAAGAATATCGTTCTAAAAAAGGTCAAAGGTGAATTTTCATACACGCGAGGACAAACTGATGTAACCTTTTCGTTTAATCACCCTGTGACACGGGAAGTGTTTTGAAATAGTTCCTCGAATAGCACAACAAAGGCACAACAAAAAAAGTTGCCTAAACGTACCATTATCGGTACAAAAATGCTTTTTTCTGTGACGGGAAAGAAGTTTGGCATTTCATCTCTGTTGGCAGGTTATGAAATGTCACTTTTCATAAATTACTTTTTCCCCGTGGAAAGAAAGTGAGTACTTGTGCAATAGATCCGAAAAATGAGTCAATAATACAGTCTCCGAGAAAGAACTGCAAGTCCTTTTATCTTCCATTCGACTTCGCGGTTACGTATATTACTAAAAAACCACTAAATTCGCAATTTTTTGAAATCAAATCACAGAATTAGACTGACAGAAGTGACATCAGATATTTGATTACTTCAAAAGAATGATAAAGATGCCTACAACGCAGGTGTCCCTTCTGTTAAAAACTTGAAATTTCACGTCGATAATTTTCAGATTTCAAAATAATGTAATATCTTCTCAATATTGATTCGTCCTTTCATCTGTATCATAGTGTAACTATTGTTTCCGGTAGGTATAAAAGATGTTGAGTTTTTCTTTAACAAAAATTATTCTCATTAATGTATTCAAAATTTTAACTGCTCACATTGTGAACAGACTCGATATTTTTGGCGTGAAATAAGTCATTATTCAGACAGAACACCTCAATCTGCTTTAGAAATGATCGATCATCAAGCAATCTCTAGAACGAGAAGATATTTTCATACACAAAGCTGCAGCGGCAATCTTTGTCGAAAATTTCATCTGCAATTGAATATCAAATTCATTACATCTCAGCCAGTTGTTTTATTCAGGTCATCAGCCTGAGAGACTCGAACCTCCCCTCATTGGGAAAGTATGCCTCAGTTTTCCAAGCAGAGGTGTACGCAATTCTCCAATGTGCGGAAGAAAATAACAGAAGGGCTGTGGAAAACGAGCAGATCCTTATTATGTCAGACAGTCAAGCGACAATTAAGGCAATAATAAGCCAGGAAGTGACATCTCGACTGGTATGGGATTGCAAGAGGGAACTGAGAACTCTGGCAAACCGGATTTGCGTCAAGCTAATCTGGGTGCCAGGTCATCAGGGGATCGCTGGCAATGAGAAGGCTGACGAACTTGCAAGAAGAGGGTCGGACAACAAGCCAGATCCAGGACAGACTCTTGGAGTACCAAAACGTACAGCACGAGTGTCAGTTAAAGACTGGATTCAGGCAAAACATGAGAGCTACTGAGAAAACATCCCAAGAAACAGACAAGGGAAACAATACATTAAGGAACCAAGTCATAAACGAACTGTAGACCTGCTCAACTTGAACAGAGCACAGATAAAAACTGTTACGGGACTTATGACTGGCAATGCGCCAGTAAAGGAGCATCTCGCCAGAATGGGACTGTACAATGGCGACCCAAGCTGCAGACTATGTGGCAAGGAACCAGAAACAGTTGCACATATACTGTGCCGATGTGAGGCATTGGACCGCAGAAGACAGAAGATCTTTGGGCAACCAGTTGGCGAACCAGAAGTATTCAACTCACATCCAGTGAAGGATTTGTACAGACTTGTTCAAGGTACAGAGATAATGGAGTGGGTACAATAAAGAATTACTAGGTAAGATACAATGGGCCACCATAGGCCTAAGTGTCGTCGGAGACATGGTCAGACGAGCCTACAAACGGGGTGGAGTTTTTAGTGGGTAAACCCTGGCTAGAGTCAGGGTAGTCCCACACATGATATGGGGGACTGGACCCATATGGTGTCCATAAAGGATTTGAACCACCTCGACAAAAAAAAGCCAGTTGTTTTTTTCTCCAAGATATTGTCGTAGTCAGACACCCAAATACTTGGAGTTCATGTGTTTCAGTTATCCCTTGATTCATACTTATAAATGAAATATAGGTAGGTATCTATCTACAAAAATGAATGTCAGTATTTGCGGAGAAAAATAATGAAATTTCAAAATATTTTTGGTCGATGGATTTTTGAATAAGGAATGCCTCCATAGGCTTGATCCTTCGCTATTGTTGGTCTTCAGAATCAAGTAGATATATTGAAAAGTAACTGAAATTATCAATAACTTTTCATTGTATGTATACTTCTATAAAATAATTATATAATTAAATTATTCTCATACAGCACACTTAATATCTTCAACAAAATACTAAGGTAACTGGCTACAAGAATGAGATTAATTATTTATTATATTCGGAAGTATATTCAGGTGTCAATTTCTTAATGCCACCATCATCAGTTGAATCTTTTAGATCCTTGTCGTTAAAATGTCTCTCCACTACAAAAGTGGTGGCATGATGATTAATTAAACAGCCTTTGCTGTTGGGTGCTTATACAAAATTGAGGATGTGGTAAAAGCATCCTCTAACGTTGTCTATAATTCCTGGAAAGGTTTCCGCTGGCATCTAAATCCTTGATTAATTTGATTCTAGAAGTAGTAAAACGTCCTATTCAACAAACCATTAACAGCGTTCTCAGTTAGGCTTCATATTCCTAGAGCATTATATCATCTCGACATATCAAATACCCCTGATTTCACCGGCCACATTATTTTCAATTTCATATTCTCAGTGAAATATTATTTGACTTCCTCAGACGGTAATATTATTATACGATTCCCAAAGCAAACAACACTATACAACACCGACGAAGTTGGCCATAAATTCAAGAACAATTATGGTTCCTCTGAAACAAATTTATTATGAATCAGCGAAGTTCTGAACACTCTCGCTTTAATATGATTGGTAGGTACTCACAAACTTTGGAGTTTCTTAGCTAATTGAGACAAAAATACACGGGAAGTTTATGCCTGAAATGTTTACTTCCGGCACTTCAGGGGGAGTTGGTAATATTTTTGTTTCAGCATTCTGTATATTATGTTTGTTCTCCGACTGTGTTTTTGATTGATTTTCCATAACGAATTGATTCCATCTAAACGGAAACATCCTCATCAAAAACCGCTTAGACCTCAATCACTTTCAAATTGAATAACTGAATCAAAAATGATTTAAGCTGAACATACGATAACCTATACATACAATCTCCCAAATTGTTGCTGAGATGAGAAGTGAAACTTTTTTAACCTAGATGAATAATAATAGATTGATAAAGGACTTTTACTCAGATGGATAAAACTGTCATCAGTGTCAATGATACATAATATGCAATATAAACACATAGATACCGATGCGTATGCAACGAATGAAAATGAAACATGCTCTGAACAAAATATTAGTTACTAGTACGAAATTTATCACAACTGAAAGCAATTTTTTAAGTTATAAAGAATGTTTGGAATGAGGTGATTACTCAGATTATTCAGATCTTAGGGTAATTATTATATATTATTCCTGAAAATGACACAACACTAACCATATGTGATCTGTCACTATCATGTGTTAATTAGAGCAATTCAAATAACCATGACTCTCGGTATGGACACATTTTTTGACCAGTCGCAAATATTTCAGCTATATGGCGATCAACTCTATTTTAATGATCTTGGGTCACGATATGATTTCTTTCATTATGAAGATCAGCTCAATGATTGTTCAATGGTATCATCTGCGATATTCATGAGGTTTAAATATCTCCAAACAATGTAATAAATTGTGTATTTTCAATATCTACTTGCGATATTTATCAGTATACTTCCAAACTTCACTCGTTTCTTTGTTTTACAATGTCGTCAGGAATTTTGATACGGGGTTAGTTTTCAATATCACATCAATTTTAATAATATGATGAACAATGCACCTTCAATGGAAATGAAAATCTGAATTAGGAAAATATGTTCATATTTCAGTGTTAGTAGTGGAAGAAATATTATATATATGTACTTTGGGTGAGATCGCTTTATAATTGCTCACTACTCAATCTATTTTGCAACGATCATGTAATGATAGTTATCAATAATCATTGCTATCTTCTCACTATAACCATACAATCTTACTTATAAAACACAAGTGAGTACCTTTTTCCCAATATATAGGTCAAAGTTTGATCTAGAACATCAATTTTTTGGAAAAATTGACCCATTTTTGGGGTGTTGTATCCTGTATCTAGGGCACTGTTATACTGTTATACAGTGCTTCGGTTGAATTTGAATTGTTGAAAATTCAGTCATTTTTGGAAGAGGTGTCCAACACCCTGAATACTACATAATATCGAAATTTCTGCATTTAGAAAACTGTTGCTTTTTTGCCGCTCTCCTCTCGGTCTACATAGGCTGAAAATACGTGTTTTCAATGGCCAAAATCTGTTACATAATGAATATCCGTGATGAAATGAACAATATCAGTAAACCGGTAGCGCAGATATTCAATTTGCGTTTTAATAAAGTTACGGTAGCAGAAAAAATCCCGTCCCTATAATTATTCTATATATCGATTCCAGGATTGGGGCCAAGTCGATATACTGTGTGGTATGTAAATAGGCCGTTGGCAGGTATAGTCTGCGTACCGTACAAAAGACCCGAAATGAAGGACCGCAGGTGTATTATTTGATGGGACAGACAGTGCGCAGTCTCGCATTGATTGCCAGATTCGGGAATGAGCCAGGACCAACCGGGAAAGATGACAACCGGGTGAGCCTCCTAAGAAAATAAATAGAACTCAATATCATAAAACAGATTGCAGTCAACAACGGATACAACGTTAATTTGATAGACAGTACTCTTTCTAACAAACTTCATAATGAAGCTATTCAAGAAGTTTATCCTACCATCAAGAATAATAAAATTATAGAACTTTATTTATTTCGGATCATCAACTGAAAAATTAGCTTCATTTCTACATAAACAGGACTGAAAAGTAGAATTTACATACATACATATACAAACTCAACTGTGTATCTCGTCCTAAGGTATATATCGGTCAGACAGGTCGTACGTTTAATGAGCGTATTAATGAACATGAGATGAATTTTTTTAAAAAGAAAACAAATTCAACATACGCCAACCATATATTAGAAGAAACCATAGTTTTGATGATAATTTCGAAATACTACACGTAGAAAATAAAGGAATGAAACTCAATAATTTTGAATCATTACAAATCAACAAACTAAAAAATTCTGATATTTTACTTAACGATCAATTAGACCCCAATAGTTCACCACTGTTGAATTTGTTTTCTTAGTAAGTAATAATATTTATTTGATGTCAACCCTTTCAAGCTAGTCTGATACACCGTATTTTAATGTAGATATTGTGCCAAATTTCCGAAAATGAAGGTGTGTCCACAGGTAACTAACCCTTCAGGTTGGGAAAATAGGATATACAGGGTGTTTCATAATTGAATGCTGATCCTAAAGGGCGATAATCCTTGGATGATTTTAAGAAAAATTCTTCATGTAAGCATAGGTCCGTAACGGCTTCGTTTCTGAGATACAGGATGTTGAAATTTAACAAAAAAATCAGTTATTCCCCAATATCTCTGAAACCGCTCGGGCTTTTTTCTTCATTACAAAAACTTGAAAATAGTTACCATAAAATTATAAAAATATTGCTTAGATCTTTTGGTTACCACAATTGTGAAATTATGACTAAGAGTAAAAATCGAATAGGGACAAGCAAATTAATGCATTTTATTTTATAACTCAAAAACCGTTCGCCGGACGAAAAAAAGACAAAAGACCATTTTTATGAGAAGATAGAGGATAATTACAAAAATAATATTTATTTGGGAAAAAGACAGTGGCGTATCATTATTCTGATGAAAAATATGACAGGGTATGTTAACAGGGACGCCACTGATGGGAATGAAGAAATCCTTTAGTATGGAAAAAATGTATTTCTATCCATACTTGGCATGTACCAAAATTGAAGAGAAAAGCCAGAGCGATTTCAGAGATATTGCGGAATAACTGATTTTTTTGTTAAATTTCAACATCCTGTATCTCAGAAACGAAGCTGTTACGGACCTATGTTCACATGAAGAATTTTTCTTGAAATCATCCAAGGATTATCGCCCTTTAGGATCAGCATTCAATTATGAAACACCCTGTATAAAAGTTGAGCAAGCCAAGGTTAGTTTGGTTCATTGTACCAGTATATCACCTGACGAAGGAACTGTGTTAGCGAAACATGTCGTGTGTTTGAGAATTTTGTGGAAATCTTATCGTTTGTGAAGTTTTTACATTTGCCATGGATTTCCATCAAGTAACGGCCGAGTCAATTCAAAATATGACTTGAATTCAGAGTTAGCTTATTCGTATCACACAAGAGTTTAGCTCGATCTTCATTGTGCCAAAATGTAGTGGTATCGTCTGCTAATAAAGTCATTCCCACCAGTCAAATCGAGACTAGCCACATTGATACACAGCAAGAAAACAGTTATTCACATGTTTCTTGAGTTTCTAATGTTTGTGTTATTGTTCCTTCTTGCTTTGGTCTCCAGCCTAAGTTTTCCTTTTCAAAATGCTCATAGCATGGAGCGCATGAAAGGAAATCCCTATAATATTCAAAGAACATCGTGCGTTCCTAGGGAGGATAGGGACAAGAGGTAGGTATTGGAATTTTTTTTCAACTTCTGGAGATTATATGTAGTTGGGAATACTTCCTCAGGCAATGAAATCCAGAGCCTAGCCGTTCTTTGGATAAAGGAGTTTTGATAAAGTGCTGTTCGACATCTTTAGAGGTTGACAACGAAAGGATGAGCTGACTGGGATTGTCTAGTTTGTCTGACTGGTATTGCTAGTGAAGGGATGATAGCAGAGATTTCCGAAGAACATTCCCCGTGGAAGTATCGATAGAAAAGTGAAAGGTCGCCGACCTTTCTACGGTGTTCCAATGATGCCAAAGAGTGAGTGAGTGTGGCGTCACCCACCAGGCGAATGGCTCTTCTCTGGATGGAATCTAAGAGCATCAGCGTATGTTTTGGTGCTGAATCCCATATGTCTCTTGTCCTACATCACCGTTGACAGCTGAAGTTACATTTGTCTGTCAGAGATGGGTTTGACATTGACATTTGGTCACATGTTATCAGGTTAATCCAGCGATATCAAGATAAAAACGTTTTTTCATTTTTGGATGTCTTTCGGCCTCCTAATGTGGCGATTCCACTGCTTCATCTGCTGTTCAGAAACAAACAAAAAAAAAGTATTTTCTATGTTTTTGAATTTTCATAATAGTTATTTTTGTATCTAGAGCGCGAAATGCGACTTTGGTGATCGAGATCTGATTTTTTTAATGAGGCGTAGCCGAGTAAAAAAAATAGTCGAGATGACCAAAGTATTTCCCGCTCGAGTTGCAAACAACATTTTTTCTACAAACGTCAAAAAATATAGTTCTAAAGTAAAAATATGATTAGCTAGATATAAAAAATTGTGTTGAACTGGCTTCGAAGGCCTCCCCCTATCCTTCCTAGGTACGCACGATGTTCCACGAACATAATACGAATTTCCTTTCGTGCGCTCAAGAGATAATACAAAAGTTATTGTTGAACATTCAGAAATAAATGATTTCATGGATTTTCGCTCGATTGAGGACCATATAGTTGAAATATAAATATCTCATTAATTTTACATTACAATGCGCGAAGTAGGTACTTCGCGCACTGTTTTACTTCGCGCATTGTTATGTGCAAGGTATCATGGTAACGTAGGAAACTGGAAAAAAGTGTCACTTCGCAGTTTGTTATAAATGCGCGAACCTCGTCATTTTTTGACGTTTGTAGAAAAAATAATTTTGTAACTTCATATGTGATTCCTAAAATTTTCTGCTTCACGTGAGTACTACCATGTTTTACCATTGATTCCCTGTTATTGTTGCTTTGTTCTTTGTATAATAATTGGCTGATGATGGGGACTCCAAAACAGGGCCCTTTCTATTTATGATTTGATGATATTGAACGTTATGGAGACGACTTGGAGTGTTTTTACTATATGAGTTATTCACATGTGTTTAGAAGTTGAAAAATCCAACTTTTGTTTATAACTTGTGACAAAAGTCGATGGTAAATTGCTTTTTCCGCCAGTGAATTTTCTAATATTGATTTTGAGAATGTCGATTCCATTTTTTGTATCTCCTATAGTTACCGATTAGTCCTATACAAGCATCGAAATCAATTCGCCATCCTGTACGAAAGAGTGCTTCATTCTTTCTTGTTGTGTCTGAACTCTATATAGCAGCAAAGAAATCTCATAACGTAGTTCTAGGTAGTATACATAATATATAACGGTATCAACATCCGATCCACACAATCCATTCGTGTTTTCGAGAATTGTGTATTACTAAGTTGTTGAATCTGTCGAAAACAATTTCGATAGATTTGTGTTATGGTCTGAGAGCCTGCTGCAAATTTCGCTCAAAGACAATTCCACACAATGTTCATAAAATGAACAACAATGGTAGATTTCGGGAGAAAAACAACTACTTTCCTGGCTGATGCCACGCAGAACATTGAATTACATCCTCCCGAAAACTATGCATCGACTCGTATAAACGAATACTGATACAAGTGATTCTTTCCTGGATGCCTATTGATTTCGATTTAGCCAGGCCACGCTAGACACCTACAGACCGGTTTCGAGCTGTTTGACTCTCATCATTCAAGGGCAGTCGCCAGCCAGCAGTCCTGAGACCGCCGACTAAGCGTAGCCTAGCCAAACAAAAATCAAGTCGGCATTATATTCCCCCAGAGGCGTCTTCCATGGACAATATGAAAGCAACGCCATCTGAGTATAAAATAAGGAAAGAAACACTTCAAAACTGAAATTCCCATACGGGAGAGGCTGGTTGCCCGACTGGTATAATTTCAACTACGGAATAGCCAAATGACTTTGAGCTTTTTGTATTTCACTACACTGTTTTACCACTAACCAAACCGATTTTTTAACGCCTCGACACGAGTTTCGCTAACTATGTTAGCATCTTCAGGAGAAGATTAAAACTAAGTATCCTATTCTAGTGTGCTGCTAATATACTAGGTATATGTTCACCCAACTGTGAAAAATACTAACCGCCAAGTTAATGTTTGTCATGGTTGAGTTCACATGTTAATCCAAATTTTTATATTACTAGACTATATAGAGGGCTATATGGAATAGGTCCATTATCCTTATTCATTACTCCATTACTATTCTTAAATATGTCTAAGCTTTCATATGCGTCTAGTTTTCTATTGTTATGAACTTGCTAAACTAATTTGAGGTTAGTAATATGTGTGTTATGATTGTGATTGAACATATGTTCGGCTACACAAGATTTATCTAACCTGCCATATCTTAAATGGGCTATGTGTTCTTTGAACCTTGTAATTATGGGTCGCCTGGTTTGGCCTATACCGGGTGAGTCATTGAAATGGGAAAGTGAGATAACGCCTTTGTTGTTTGAGATAGATGAACAAAAATTGTTGTGATGATCTAGGCTCATGAGCAGCACATTTCCAAAATATTTCGTTTTATACAGGGTGACTTAAAAATGCGTGACGTATCAGAGTTATACTTTCCTTATGGGACACCCTGTATTTGATTGCATTTTCGGATTCTCCTTTATGAGCTGATTTCATCAATGCATCGCACTTGGGTCTAGCAAGAATGATTACAGAGATATAGGGTGTGCAAAATCGAGATATTTCAACTTTA